ACCCAGTAAGGGCCACCTCTATAAGCACGGCACCTTGCGAATCTGCTCCTAACACAAAACATTAGTACCCTGAGAATCTTAATTTTTGACAATTACCTCATAATCGCTTCCACATCGATCCGTGAATAAATGCACCGACAATGATCCAGAGAGGTGGTACGTGTCACCCTCTTTCAAGATGAGTTAGCTTCAGTAATAGGTTTGCACAAATACTGATAATAGATATAGCTGATATTCGTGATCAGTCGAGGCGGTGTTGGGGGGCGTCGAATGAGCACATTCGTGGCTGCGTTTTCTACCAATAGTGGTTTAGGAAGAGAGCAACCATTGGCCTCATTCAATGCATCCCAACGCCTCCCGAGTGATTACGATATCAACTGTCAATGACAATAAACTAGAGTCTCCACTAAACCAGACCACAACATTTATTTTAACAAAACGTGATGGCATATCACGAGTAAACGAGACTACGAAGCTTGTCTCGAAAGACAGACCATACATTATTATATAAGACATATTAGACAGACTTATTATACAGACATATTATAAAAGAACATATTATATAAGAAAATTAATAATAAGTATAAGAAAGAACAGAAAAGAAAAGAAAGAAAGAAGAAAAATAATATAAGAAAGAACATTAGACATATTATATAAGGAAATTCCTGTTGTAAACGCTGAGGAAGAGGAGCGTGCAAATGGTGAGGAGATGGAGCAAGTGAGTTTTACTCATTTCCTAATCAACACTCACAAGGTGATACTCTAAAAAATGGGTTTAACCTAAAATCTGGCGAGCATTCTGGAGAGACCTTCAACTGGTGAGTCTCTGTTTGCGATATTGGCGTCTTCTCGAGGGGTTCCTGACACGACGTCGGAACCGCTAGAGTTGACGAGGTGCTTGGTGGGGTAGGTTGCATATCTAATGCTTGAAACACATTCAGGCCTCTGAAGACGACGATTAAGTCGAAACGTTAGGCCATTTTTAATAAATGTTCCACCTAACAACCTCGTAAGGCACAAGAATATTGAAACACTCACTACTAACATGCCGAGGTTGCAAGAAGAGAGAAGCTGAAAAATAATTCGTGCGGGACTTTGGAAATGCAAATTTCGATTGAACTAACGAATAGCTTTGTACTTTGTCTAATAGGTACACTGAAAATTCTTGATAGTATTTTAGTTTTTTCGCCTTTATTTTTCCATCTAGCGTACCAAGGAAATCAATCAATATGTAACCACTATTGCTAGTTACCATTGTGGTCATTTAGTGGACAGGTCAGTCCCTTTTCCGTGGAACTGGCGGACGCGAGTCAAGAAAGACCACCCAAACTATGTCGCCGAACGTTGCCAAAGTTTCCTCGGCCAAGAAAGCTTCTCGGGGCAGGAGCAAGTGAAAATTATAGGGAGCTACACTCCCTATCCCTGAGACGGAGTACGCGTGGCATTTGAACATAGCATAGATAAGTTACTCGTGGAGATTTTCAACTTGAGACAACTGTCATCTTGTTCTGTGTTGACAAAGACATGACCACAATTGTCTCAAAATGAAAATATCTCGCCAAAAGCTCAGTTACCGCCACGTTTAGTTGAAGTACGCAGCCACGCCCACCGCAACTCACGGATTTAGAGTATATGTCAGAAGAAAATCATAAAAGACGATGCCATATTGCTGAAGAAGCGCCTAAAAGTGGAATTGTGTGAATTTCCCACACGCGAACTTTTGAAGTGCCAGAGACCTATCGGTAATATCGAAAGAGTCTCGAAGCTGATTACGAGTATGCAGGTTACAAGTGCTACGGGGACCTCCCAGACGAGATCTGGGTGTCAAAGTTTGAGTTCTGGCTCGTAAGCGCTGCTGATCGATGCCTCGGCAGTGCCACCGTGGCTCGGGGTTCATGGTCTCGCTTTCAAGTCAAACGCATGCGGGTTTGCATCCGGTTGGCGCGAAAATTTTTGCTTCGCTCCGTATAAGAGCTTCAACTCTAATTTTCGAAATTCTTCCGAATTTACGGCCCAGCAGGGCAAGTAGATCAAGTACATCAAGTATACGACGTACTCGATCTAGTATGGATGTTGGTCCATATTCTGCCCTCTGAAGCTGACATATTACCATGCCCAACAATTTCAAAGCTTTTCGCGAGAAACTCGTTTTATGGCTTTGGATCGCCTGAACTAACGAAATCAGCATCCTTCGACTAAAAACGCTCGTCTTGGCCCAAACTGCTGATTCTGGGCAAAACTTTGAATTGTCGGATGGGTAATATGTTCAGAGAGGGCAGATATGACCAAATCCATACTAGATCGAGTACGTCGTATACTTGATGTGCTTGATCTACTTGCCCTGCTGGGCCGTGAATTCGGAAGAATTTCGAAAAGTAGAGTTGAAGCTCTTATAGGAGCGAAGCAAAAATTTTCGCGCCAACCGGATGCAAACCCGAATGCGTTTGACTTGAAAGCGAGACAATGAAACCCGAGGCCACGTATGGCACTGCGAGGCATCAATCAGCCACCGCTACACGAGCTCAGAACTCGAAACCTTGACCACCCACAGGATCTCGTCTGCGGAGCGTCACCCGTAGCAACTTTTACCTGAATACTCGTAATCAGCATTTCGAGCCTCATCGATGCTACCTAGGCTCTCTATTCACGAGCTTCCATGGAAGTTCAACACCAATTCCGCTGTAAGAGCGAGCATCGCTCCTCGACTCTCAGGCCGTTACTTCAAGTCATATATGGATTATCACGGACGATGTGCACAGAAGGTCGCAGCGGTCGTTTCTCCCAAGCATCCTCCGCGATATTCGAGTGAAGCGGCGTAACCTATCGGTGATTGTGTTCCTTCGTGGAACAGGCAGTACAACGATCTTCCCGAATGCCACAAGCAGCACAAGGCAACTTTATTATTGGTAAGAATGCTTTGTAGCAATGGTTACAGTGAGGACTTCATTATAGCTAGTATAGTTAAGAGTATTTATAGAAATAAACTTATATGTTACAAATACTCTATTACGAATGATTACGGTAGCATAAGCAGATTAGTCCGAGGTATTCTCAGTGGCTTTTTCGTTTAAATTGGTGTCTATGTAACACATTTTTTTTACCTGCATGTGTCGTGTAGTATTTTCGGATAGTTATAATGTAACATCAACTGATAGTCTGTTTTTCGTAATTACGATGTCCTACTCACGTTATCCAATCAATTAGCATTCTTAAACCTCTCAGTCTTTATCGTTTTCAACTTTATTCCTTATAAACTGCAATTGATTTTTCTTCCTTTCCTTACTGAAGAGCACGGAAGGAGGAATACGATTGAGGGCACGTGCGAAACGGAAGCTGAGCTATCTCTTTGCTTTCGACCCCCTCAATAATTCTCATTTGTTGGATTTTACAACATAGTCCGGCACTATTCAACTATTACTACCCCAGTTTTCCGAAAACGGGCCGGATCTTGATCGACTTTTTTCTACGGGGGCAGATTTGGCTGAAATTTGGGTTTAGGGGTCGACCTCGTGAACACGAATATCACATCCACTTGGCCTGAAAGTGCCTGGCGCCCGCGCCACAGGCGCCAGTGATTTAGGGCATTTTGGCGCCGGTGCCTGTGGCCGAGCGTTTCAAGCCGAGCGGATGTGATATTCGTGTTAGGAGGTCAAACGAATTAATTCCAATCCAGTTAATTTGCATTAATTCCAATCCAAACTAAGGACAATTTTTCAGCGGATTCGGTGATCCAGGGTACTTTGGCGCCGGCGCGTGCTAAACCAAACTACACCCTCATTTGCACAGCTGATTCTCCGATAAGAATTCTACGATCGTACGAGTGACGAGTTTCATGCTTTTTCTTCCTGCAGCTTCGTTTTTCACTGAAAGGCAGGCCTTAAGGGCGGGTCTGGAGGCGGGATCACTGGGAGAAAGTAGATTTCATAGAACCGATATTAATTTATAGCGCTCTCTCTTAGAATTTTTCTAAGCGAAACCGGTACAAGATTATTCTTCGCGGATCACAGTACCCCGACGCCATATTTTCAACTTCTGTATCTAATCGCGGACCGTGCCTTCAATATTAAGGAATGAGGTTCTCATTTGCAAACCATCAAATTGAACAGACGTGAGATGAAACCGATAAAGGATTATATCAGCAACAAGGCTACAACTTAGCAAAATGGGACTGTTGACTGGATTCTCGAAGGTTTGCGTGTTGATGTTGCACACAAACTGCAGGTAGTGTGGAGGCAAGTAGTACGCTTACCATGCGCACGGTATGGGCTCCAAATCTTGGATCGGCTCCCAAATAGGCCAACCAATAGGCCTACTCCTGGGAGACGGTAAGCTGGGACCAGATTCGTCTGGGGGAACAAGAACACTGACTTGTACATAGCCTGGCCCCGCAAATCATGCATAGTTCACATCGTTTTCAATAAGCCATACGATCCAGAATGGAAGCAGAATGCGTGGTGCGTGACAAAAAGGGACTGATGAACGACGAAGACTTCACCACTTATCCTTATATAGACTGCAAGAAAATCCTTACTCACCCGGCAGCCAAAACCATAATACTAGCAAAAATAATAAGTAATCGCATTTCGACTGAATGGACTAGCTTACTTATCCTCTTATATAGTATGTACGACATGTGATCTTGTGGGTTAGTGACCGACTTCTTTAATCGCGTCGTTCCTAATCAAATATCAGTTGTGCTTTGTCTTGCTGGTAAGAACGAGTTTTTATCCACGTAATTGTCCGGTGACTAAGCTTACAGTAGACGTACTGTGTGCGATATCCTACATGTAAACGCGAAAACGAAATGAACTTACGTTTCCGTGCTAACAAGGAGAATATCTTGTGCTGGACAAAGACATGGTTACCTGCCCCTAGTAGGAAAAAGAAATAGACATCGGTGGAACAACGACTACAAAAGGGTGATGATGTTGTGCATCCCTAACCTCCTACAAACCTGTGGTCGTTGGGGAGGGGAACGGGAGGGGAGGGAGGTTTCGAGCTCACTCTGAATCCTCAGCTCGTAGCCTACCATATGTCTGACGGTTACGGCATGCCATAGCAACCTGAACTTACAATGCATATCTTGGTGATGAAGTATGCGTAGCTGCAAACTCCGTTTGATCATGGGGATGTGCCTTTCTTGAGACCTTCCCATTTGGGTTAAAAAATTGCTAACCCAAATGGGAAGCCTGTTTGCCCCGGGTAAATCCCAGGTCATTTACCCGGGGCAAACAGGCTTCTATCCTCCGGGGTATTAGTACCTATTCATTTGGGAGAATAGAACACTCACAGGTAACATCCGCACTTTTTAATGTCCTTTTTAGTATTAGTACACATCGCATTCTAGGAGCCATTTCGCACTTCACAGCAGCGTCCACCAACGTCTACCAGCGTGCACCAGCGGTCACCAGCGACATGGAGTAGAGAGTGGGAAAGTAGGAGGGTAGCAAACAGCTGGATTAGGCGTCGTGAAATTGCGGCTGCAAGCGCATCGCACAGCTGCTGAAGCAGAGAATTATTTAGAGAAGTTCAATGTACGCATTAATTGTTGGCATTTTTCTCACATGATGTTTTTCTTTGGTAGTCGATAATAAATGTTAGATGTTAGTGGTGCAGTTCAGACATTAAATTTCACGGCGCCTAATCCAGCTGTTCGATGCCCTCTTGGTTCCCCATACTCTCTACTCCCAGTCGCTGGACGAACGCTAGTGGACGCTGGTAGACGCTGCAGACGCTAGTTCAGTACCCTTATTTCCCTACGCCTCGAGTCCCTGGTGGACGCTGGTAGACGCCGGCAGACGCTAGCAGACGCTAGATCGATATCTATACTTTCCTAGTCGCTGACGCTGCCGGACGCTCGGAACGCTGGTGGTTGCTGGTGGACGCTGGCCGCTGTTGGACGCTGCCGCAAAGTATGAGCGCAGCTTTACGATTCTCGATGGGAGTAGAATGCATACCGCATCCTAAAAAGGATTTGATCATCGGCGAACTTTATCCTGTATTCTTTATTCTACTTCCACTTAGTCAACAGTAGTGGTATCCGGTAGTTTCATCAGTTAGGAAATGAACGTTTCCCTGTAAAAGACGTACTTCCTCAGAATTGTTAGCTAATAGATTACCTGCCAAGTGGAAGCAACCCTTTTTCTTCTTATGCCCCTTTGCGGCCTAATGCTGCACTATGCACCCATAAAGAGTGCGCGGTCCGCAATGCGTTCAACTAAATTAGACCAACCACAGTAATACTCTTCGTGTTTACCACTTTCTTGTTACCACCTGGAAGGGTGTAGACTTGACGTCTCAGGATCTTGCCATTCTGAAAAGAATCATGTAATGAAATGGTAAGGAAATTCACTGACTGTTTCATTACTGAGTACCGTTATCTCTTCCACTTCCATACCGCTTAGCAAGTATTTTCGGCCACCATAGCGCATGGTTTGGTTCAAGTTTTGTAAACACAAGTGGGCAGTACCTGAAATTATCGTCTGGCATCAAATCGATCATGGAACTAATCACCCCATATATAATTCGCTTCGTCTTTTGTTTGTTTGTAAGTTTGTTTGTCTGTCCGGAAATTCGGTTCGACCTGAAGAACGACTTGGAGAGGTCGGGTCAAGGTGGGGATGGGTAGAGCATGGGACAAGAAATAAAAAGCACACTTGACCTATGCGAAGCCCCGCCCACAGTGGGCGGGGCACTCGCTGAAATTTTGGGGTTCCACAGAAAAATGTTCATAATTCGCTTCCGGAGCAGCCTAAGATGGGGAAAAAAGGGAATAAGGTTAGTAAGGAGTCGCCAGACTAACTGTGGCAGACACATCCAAAATGGGCGGGGCGTACTTATGGTGGGCGGTGCTTATGAACTTACCCTTTTCTGAATGGTGGGCGTGCCTTGATATTTTTAAGTCGTTTGGTTGGAGGAGTCATTTCTGAAGTCGGTAACAGCCAATTGATGTCTCACATCTAACCAAGATGGAGACGATATGGAGAAATTATCCAGTCATACCGTTCAGAAAATGGTTTTCTGACACCAACAGGGGAGATTTCCTGGCCCAGCTACTGCTCTCGTCTAAGTCGCATCAACGTTAGTTGCTAAGGGTTTTACACGACGAAAACACTACACATTCAAAAATGTGGAGAAATAGTATGGAGAAATGGCAGGAAATGGAAATGAAGAGAAATGGCAAAAGGGATAGAGCAGCGGACTACTATACTATATGGAAGGCAGAGCCTTCAGCTACGTATCTGTGGAATGGCACAGAAGAACTTTTCGAAAAAGAAGCTTGAGCGGTGAAAACCAGCTCTGGATATTTGAATCGGGCGTCATAAGAGGAAAGTGCGCTGCTCAAAGTTGATCTGCGGCAGAGCGACATTGATTGCGCTGGGGTGTAACATTCGTAAGAGCCTCGCTAAAGTCCCGTTTCAGTTTTCATAACCTCGTCGAGAAGCGGTATGAATGAGCTCTGCATGACGCACGCTGAGGCGGAACAACCGCATCGGTGGTTGAGAGCTTCTGAATGATCGAGGGTTACAGGCCACGTCACGTCCAGCATCAGATGGCAGTGCGAAGGTCTGACCTGTCATGACGGGACCGGGCTTCGATCCTGGCTTCAGTGGCCTTCAGACCTTCGCGTTCGTCAACACGTTAACATCTGTCGTGCAGTCGTGGCCACCCTGAGCACTATATAAGCTCATTGAAAGGGTTCACTCCTTCAAGGTCTTGATGGAATCCACCAATCCTCTGGAAGAAACAGATGCAGAACAACAGGTACGCCATTACTGTTCTTTTACTTTTCTTCTTCCTTTCTTTCGACTCCTTTGATATTGCTGTGCGTAAGCGATTGTTAGCCACCTATCAAAACGTGGGTTCAGACTGCAACCTAAGAAGGAGCAGGTGATCTGTACAGAGGATTCTTGCTTCAAAGTAGTATCAGTCAAGGGTGATATTCGCATTGTGGTATCACGAAAAAAAGAAGTGCTTTCCTAGTGAGAGTAAAGTGATAGGTGGGAGAACTGTTCCCATGGGGTCCAAGCCCTACTTTTTTCTTCACCACCTTGTCATTAAGTAATTAAGCGTCACAACTTACCCTTTTACTAATGAGATGGGCGTGGCCTACGTGGAAATTTTTAACTTTCAGTTTAGTTTGAAGAGATTCCATATTCTGAAGCGGTAAACAGCCAATTGAAAAAAATGAACTTCACATGCTAAACCGAGATGGATTGCGATTGGGAGAAAGTTAATACAGTCATACCGGTCAGAAAAATAGGATTTTTGACACCAACAGCGGGAGATTTCCTGGCCCAGCTACTGCTCTCGTCTAAGTCGCATCAACGTTAGTTGCTAAGGGTTTTATACGACGAAAACACTACACATTCAAAAATGTGGAGAAATAGTACGGAGAAACGGCAGGAAATGGAAATGAAGAGAAATTGGCAAAAGGGATAGAGCAGCGGACTACTATACTATATGGAAGGCAGTACCTTCAGCTACGTATCTGTGTAATGGCACAGAAGAACTTTTCGAAAAAGAAGCCCGAGCGGTGAAAACCAGCTCTGGATATTTCGAATCGGGCGTCATAAGAGGAAAGTGCGCTGCTCAAAGTTGACCTGCGGCAGACCGATAGTTTCGTGTAATGGTGTTCTCCGAATGCAAGCTGGAATATTTGGTTCAGGAGCCCGAACAAGGAATAATGGAAAAATTCGTTGTTGTAGACCCATACCCATAATTCGTGGTCCCATAATGTTCATCCTGCACAAGAAAGGGTGAATGAATTCTAGCACTGAATGTCTGATCACAGAGGCTGGACCCTTGTCGAGCTTCCCCGCGAGACTGACATCCCTGCTGCAACTGCTGCCCGAGTTATGTCCGATAAACTGAGGATGGTCAAGAGGGTGTGCGTATGGGTACCTAATTTTCTTGTAGAAGCACGAACGCAGTACCGATTCTATGTCTGGAGCAGTAATGTTCTACGCATAAGATAAAATTCATGTGAAATGCACCCAAGCCCTACATGAAATATGGGTGGTCTTGTACTCCGAGCCAAAACTAACAAGCGTCATTTTTGCATGAATGCAGCTAGAAATTCGCTCTGATTCGTTACGTGGGCCCAAATGGATGAACATCATACCGAAGGGTTCTTGCACTGTGGCTTGCAAGCGGCTCTATACAGGGAATAAAACTGTAGTGTTGGTGTATACTGCCTGTTCCTCGACAGTCAGATTGATAAGTGGAATGGTCCGCGACTGGGATTGTTGCTCGTCATAGTGCCAGAGTGCCGAGTATCAGTATTATAGAGCAGTGCCAGGACACTAATAATACTGATACCTGAGTTCAATCGCTTCATTCGCCTAACATAATGCCATTGGATTTCAGGTGTTCTGGTCAGTCAAAGGTACTCAACGGCGAACGCTACAATGTTTTGTCATCCGCCGGAATTGGCTTCTTCTTCTTCTCCCTAGCGTTAGTCCCGCGCCGTCGCAGGGTCCGCTGTTCTTGTTAGACGTCGCCACTTGTTCCGATCCACTGCATCTTCTGCCGTGGCTTTCACTTCAGTGAGGTCCTTCTTGATGACGTCCCTCCATCTTTTCTTTGGGGCTCCTCGTGGTCGCTTCAGCTGGATCGGAGCCGTCTGTGTGACCGCCCTGACGTCCTCGTTTCTGACTCTGTCGAGTCGTGTCCAGCCGCAGGCCCATCTCAGCATCCTCATTTCAGCTGAGTGGAGCTGCCTTTCATGGTTCTTGCAGATGGGCCAGCACTCACTGCCGTAGAGCACTGTAGGCCTTACCACCGCCCGGTACACCTTGCCCTTGAGCGTTCCCGAGCACAGGATGCCAAGTGGACTCCTCCATTTCATCCAGGCTGCGTTGATTCGGGCCTTCACCGCCTGGTCCACGCTGCCATCAGCTGCTAGGTCGCTCCCCAGGTACTGGAAGTCCTCGACCCTTTCGATGCTCTCGCCATGGACGGTCTACGATGGGTTCGGTACACTCTTCGGAGCAGGAACTTGGTCTTCTTTACGTTCAGCCGGAGTCCATTCTCAGCGAGCACATCCTGCCACCGCTGCACCTTGTCCTGGAGTTCTTCCCTGCTGTCCGCTATCAGGGCGATGTCGTCAGCGTAGAGGATGGTTTTCAGTGGCCCCTCCATGAGTTCTTTTGCCATGACATCCAGAGTCAGGAGGAAGAGGAACGGGTTGAGAGCTGATCCTTAGTGTACCCCAACCGTAATGTTTACCTCCTTTGTCAAGCCGTGAGAGGTGCGTACAGCTGCTCAGCCCCATCGTACATATCCTTCACCACGGAGATGAGGTGTTCCGGAGCGTTACGTTTTCTAAGCGCTGTCCAGAGTACAGGCCTAGGCAGGCGGTGTGAATGCCTTCTCAAGGTCCAGGAAAGACTAGGTAGCAGGGTCGCCGCTTTTCTCGGTACTTCTCCATCAGCTGTCTGGCGATGAAGGTGGCATCGGTGGTGGACCTCTCGGGCACGAAGCCGAATTGTTCCTGCGAGATAGGGACATGTTCCCTCAGCCTAGTGTTGACCAGGCGCTCGTACAGCTTCATGGGATGGGGAGCAGCTTGATCCCGCGATAGTTGGAGCACTCCGTCGCGTCCCCTTTCTGTATTGGAAATGGGGGCGATTGTGCTGCTCCTCCACGCATCTGGCATCCTTCCTTCAGCCGTTACATTGTTTAGGAAGTGTGTGAGCCAACTCACCCCATGCTCTCCAAGGGCCTTCCATGCCTCTATCGGTACCCCGTCTGGACCCACTGCTTTCCCAGCTTTCATTCTCCCTAGCTCTCAGCGGACTTCATTCCTTCGTCAGGTGAGGATGGGACCGTCGATGATGCGCGTCGCCTCTATCCTGTGGGCTGTCTTTGCGGGGGAATTCTTCGTTCAGTAGTCCCTCGAAGTATTCTTCCATCACTTTCTGACTTCGGCTGGTTTCCTGAGAATGGCCCCGTTGCTCTCTTCACAGACTTTACGACCCTGATGTCCTGTGCAGCGCGATGCCGAGTTTAGCCAGGCGGGAGACTTGTCCCCTTCTCGGCCTTCCAGCTTGTCGTACAGGGCGTCCATTTCCGTATTCTTGGCCTTAGCAACGGCTGCCTTAGCGAGTCGCTTGCAGCTCTTGTAGGCAGCGTAGTCTTCTGGGCTCCGTGTCTTTTGCCAGCGTTTGTATGCTTCCTTCTTCTGCTTGACGATCCCCTGGACTTCCTCGTTCCAGAACCAGGCTGCCTTGTCTCCTCTGATACCACCTCGCGTCTCTCCCAGGACCTCCCTTGCACACTGTAGGATGACCTCTGCTGCGTAGGTCCAGGTGTCCTGGACTGGCCCATGTGGGTCTGGGAGCCCAGCCTCCAGTATTCTTCGGCCGAGGCTATCCTTTTCTACCTTGCCCATTTTCCACCACCGAATTCTCCGCTCTGCTCTCACCCTCGTCTTCTTGGCGATGTCTGCCAGGAGAGGCCTGTGCTGAGGGCCCAGCTCTTCCCCAGGCAGTACCTTGATATCCTTGACGGTTTTGAGAGACGATCTTCTGACCAGGACATGGTCGATTTCCGTTTGTCTCCCTCCACTGCTGTAGGTTACCTTTTGGGTCCTCCTTTTCGCGAAGAAGGTGCTGCAGATTGCTAAGTCGTGGGCTGTGGCTAGGTCAAGGATCCGTTCTCCCTCAGCGTTCTTTGTCCCTATTCCTTGACCTCCGTGCACCCTTTCTAGACCCCTTCTGTCCCTCCCAACATGGCCATTCAGATCTCCAGCTATGGTGAGGTAGTCATCTTCCGGAACCGATCTTATGGCCTCGTCCAGGGTCAGGTAGAACTCATCCTTTTCCGCCTCGGAGCAACCGGATTGTGGTGCGTACACGGTCAGTACTGTCCAGTACCCCTCCTTCGTGTCCATTCTCACTCCCATGATCCGGTCACTGATCCTGTTCACAGTGGAGACGCAGTCCTTGAGGGATTCTGCCACCGCTGCAGGCATAGGACTTGGATATTCCTGCGTCTCATGAGGTCGGCAACCTCACGAGACTTCCCGGTAAGCGACCCCACGTTCAGGGTCCCAATTCGAACTAGCTTCTTTGGCCGAGGTCGTTCACCCCTCGGTAGCCCTCGCATACTGACCACAGAACTCGGGCGAGGGTTCTGCGCGCCACTTCCGGGTGACGTCCTAGCTTTCCTGCATCCTTTTACATAGTGAATATGAGTCTGTACGCTTGAGAACGGCAAGAGACGTGCGCCATCGGAAGAAGAGGTAAAAATTCCCAACTGCGATTTTTCATGGACGCCTCTGTCAGGACCAGCCAGGGAAAGTCTTCTACTTCTCAGCAACGGCTTTTGTAAATAATTCGGGCCCTGCATCACCCAAGCTAACTAGGAAAGGATGTTTGGCCGAAGTGGCCGATCGAGATGATGACCATCTGATGCCTTTTTGAGGGCTGATTACAAACGCATTCCATATTCGCTAAACGATTCTGTGAGCAGAGTTGTTCAGACTTTGTCTTGCGCACTCCTAAGTCCGCGTTCATACATTGCGAAAGAGGAAACTCGGCGGTTTGGGTCCCTCGGCGATCCGAGAGACTACGTG